GTTCCCATGTTTTAAACAGGATACATTATCCATATTCAACCATACAAACATTAGCTACTAGAGCCTACTCATTTCCTCATGCACCTCTGGATAGACAGATCTCACAAACAAGACCCAGTGCAGCACAACTTTCAATGAAGTGCCCATGCAGCTCAGATTTAATGTGGTCCTAAATCAGCAGTTGATGATCTTTGGAACAGTAACATGCTAATACTACAGGAACTGTTTATGAGACTGGGTTCAGAAGTTTGAGACCTTTATGTTATTGAATGGATTATAATTACTAGTTTACCGGCTGTTTCTGAGGATTTTTATAATATTGCTTTAAATTCTGAGTTTACTATACTCTACCATTAAATTGTATTTATGTAGAATAAGGTAAAGGTGTCTGCAAGGTAATACAAATTATCCTTTGCTGTCAGAAAGTAATATACCGTAAATAGGCTTGAACATGTTTTACATTCTGTAAATATACTGCAAAAACCAAGAGATATCAGATTACCATAAAGTTGATTTAGAGAAAATGGTAATTGTCTGCAGAAAGGTTTTTTTTTCAAGTTTACTAACTGCATTCTTTGTAGCTTTTATGGATTTTTTTTTTTTTTTTTTATATATATATATATATAGATGTGGCAAGTTTACATTTTCAAGGTCTCATATACATTTGATCCAGCTGTAAATCTATGCATTATAGATGCTGCATTTTACTCCGACTTGGTAGTTTTTAAATTACAAAAATATCAAAAACTGTTCTGTTTAGAAAGGGCATAAGCATTCAGCTACATAAATTATGGCTTAATTAAATTATTACTTATCTGCCCATACAAGATTTTATTAGAATTTATACAGTAATGTAGGAATTTACTCCTATCTATCCAACTGACCCACTTTTCTTAACCATTGATTAGAAATTTTAGAAAGACAATATTTACTTATATGTTACTCAGATCATAGCTTTAGAAAAGGGACAGCTTCTAGAGCTGAAAAGACAAATAGAAGATCAAGCTGGTCTTCAGATATTTATAGTAGATGTATTTAGTAATACTAGTATCTGTAAAATCTTTTCAAAATAGGTTAGGTAGCTTTAAGAAAATGTTATTTCTCAAGTTCTTCATATATATAAAAATAAGAAGAAATATGCATGAATGTTTTCAAAGTAGTTTCAGTATTGTTCTGTGACTAAAGTTTAATGTTTATGTGTTATCATTATGTGATTATTCTTAGCTTTTTTTAATGTTTTGTGTGTATTTTTTTTTTTCTCATGGCTTTATTGAAGGTATCCCCTCCCTTGCATCACAATCCTTGGGGACACTCAGCTGTTACCATCTGTGTTATGGACATTTATGAAATTTTATCACTGGTTGTTTCAAAAATTTCACTCATCCCCCAAGAATTTCTGGGGATAAACTGTCAAATTTCATACAAATTCATTCAAACACCAATTCAACATCAACACTACTTGGCTTCTTCATAGCCACATACTAGGCTTCCTCACAGCATCATTTTAGGCTTCCTCATAGCCTCATAGGCTTCCTCAGACATAGCCTCATAGGCTTTCTGATAGCCTCATAGGCGTCCTGATAGCCTCATATACTTCCTGATAGCCTCACGCATTTATTTGGAACCATAGTTCCAATTGGAATGGTGTGATGTCAAGCTAGGGGTCTTTACTTTGTTACCTTTCAGTACGCACATAGGCTCTTGGCTTAGGCATTGAGCAAACATTTAATTTTAGCTGAGTAAATTCCCCAAGGGCCAAAATTAAGTGATGATTATAAAATAATAAAAGTTATAGTTCATTTATGATTTATGTTTCATTCAAACCTGGATATAACTGGCACTGCTACGCAATACATGTATTTACACAGAAGTTTATTTATAATGGGATAGAGCAGGATTTTGAATTATGTTGATTATATTGTTTATATGAGTACTAAATACTTATTTTTACATATCATGAGTTCAAATGGAGAGTTCTGAAGCAACTCAGGATAACTAAAATGTTCCTTAAATTAATTGTCTTAAGAACTCATTATGTGTGACCTTGAGAATTTTGTTCATTGGGCACATATTTCAGCAAGTTAGACTTACTCAGACAGGTTTTTAATGTCAGGTCAAAAGATTTTTGCAAGGAGGTAACTGTTTTTCTGGATGCTGACTCAGGCGTTATATACTTTTCATTATTACAAAACACACATCCACTGACCAAAGGAGAAATATGTACAGTATAAACAACAGACACTTAAATATTAAGTACAACTTACAATAAATTATGAATGGACCTTTAGTATATCTACAATCCAGAATCAGTACCCTAGTCAAACATGGAACAAATTACAGATAAAAAATAATCAGGACCATTTCTGAGGACTTTGTATAAATAGTAACTTATATGTTATATAAGTTATGTGTTTTAAAAAGTTTGATTTCTATTACACTCAGTAGTCATTATTTTAGGATTTTCCCAGGATTTTTTGTTTTCTTTACTATTGAGAAGAAACAGATTTATTATCATATCTTAATCAGCTACATGTGAGTTTATCAGGTGTTCTTAACAGGTGGTTTATTTACATCAGTTCCATTACAAATATACATGTTTTGTTAATTAGTGACCACTTGTGGCATCTGGCTTTCCTTTATCCTTTGTTTGTTTGCACATAAACTTGGGTGTAGTTTAGCTCCTCTCATTTAGGAATATCCCATTAAGTAGTTGTATATTGAAAACCAGTACATGCTGCCTTTAGTGTCCAGTTTTTTCAATGCAGATTAAGCAGATAAAAGAATCATTTTTGCTCAAAAAGTGGCTTAGCTAAAAATTTGCCACCCACCAACCTTAACCTTACATCTTCAATATTGCCATGACAGGGGAATCAAGCTCAGCACAGTTTATATTAGATTCTTATTGATTTTTCTTTATATGAATATGTTACAAAATCGCTTAAAATTTTCATTCCAACACCATTTCATATCAGTAGTTCTCAGCAACCAGTAGTGCAAAAATTTACTTTTAGGAGCTATGTTGGATTGGTGTGATGTAAAGCCAGGGGGTCTATACTTTGCTACTTTTCAGTACGCACATGTACATAGGCTGCTGCTTTGGGCATGGATCAGACAAATAACCTCAGCATCTGAAGTAAGTCCATCATGTCTGGACATTTATGAAATTTTATCACTGGTTGTTTCAAAAATTCCACTCATCCTCCAAGAATTTCTGGGGATAAACTGTAAATTTTCATACAAATTTATTTCAACACCAATTCAACATCAACACAATTTGGCTTCCTCATAGCCACATACTAGGCTTCCTCATAGCATCATTATAGTCTTCCTCATAGCCGCATAGGCTTCTTCAGACATAGCCTCATAGGCTTTCTGATAGCCTCATAGGCGTCCTGATAGCTTCATATACTTCCTGATAGCCTCACGCATTTATTTGGAACCATAGTTCCAATTGGAATGGTGTGATGTCAAGCTAGGGGTCTTTACTTTGTTACTTTTCAGTACGCACATAGGCTCTTGGCTTAGGCATGGAGCAAACATTTAATTTTAGCTGAGTAAATTCCCCAAGGGCCAAAATTAAGTGATGAATATAAAATAATAAAAGTTATAGTTCATTTATGATTTATGTTTCATTCAAACCTGGATATAACTGGCACTGCTACGCAATACATGTATTTACACAGAAGTTTATTTATAATGGGATAGAGCAGGATTTTGAATTATGTTGATTATATTGTTTATATGAGTACTAAATGCTTATTTTTACATATCATGAGTTCAAATGGAGAGTTCTGAAGCAACTCAGGATATCTAAAATGTTCCTTAAATTAATTGTCTTAAGAACTCATTATGTGTGACTTTGAGAATTTTGTTCATTGGGCACATATTTCAGCAAGTTAGACTTACTCAGACAGGTTTTTAATGTCAGGACAAAAGATTTTTGCAAGGAGGTAACTGTTTTTCTGGATGCTTACTCAGGCGTTATATACTTTTCATTATTACAAAACACACATCCACTGACCAAAGGAGAAATGTGTACAGTATAAACAACAGACACATAAATATTAAGTACAACTTTACAACAAATTATGAATGGATCTTTTGTATATCTACAATCCAGAATCAGTACTCTAGTCAAACATGGAACAAATTAAAGATAAAAATAATCAGGACCATTTCTGAGGACTTTGTATAAACGTTATTATAAAAGCTATCAGTATATGGGTTTTTTTCTTAATTTTTGTTTTGTTTGTGCAAACTGTTTCTAAACTTAACCAAAAATAAAGGCAACAGTAGTGTACCGCTGTTCAAATGTCATAAATCAATTGAGAGAAAACACATCCGAGTTAAAAACTACAACCGATCGAAACACATCAACTTTGAGAGGTAAACTACGGCACAACAGAAACACTGAATTGCAACAAAAACAAACGCCAACATACATATAAACGGATTATTTGATAACAGCTGTAATGTTCTTGAATTGGTTCATAACATTTTAAGAGAACATGGTAGTTTGAACCTGGTTTTATTAAATAGTCAAACCTCCCGCTGTGGTCATGTTAAAAAAATTTCACTTAAATGACAGCACTACGTGACAGGAATACATAGCATTGGGACAATTTTTATTCAGCATTCACTCATGCTATTGTCTTCAAAAGATTAAGATTAAAGACATGCAATTAATTCTGTGTGTAATTGAATAGATAAATAGGTAGCACGAGACATCTACCATTGAGATATTTTATAGTGCTCACTTCAGATTCGACTAAAAATTCGTTTCACACTTGTTGTCACAAGTTGAACATTAACTGCTGTCTTTTCCGGAACACCTGTATTTATAGCATCATACTTTGTTGGAATTTTTGTTTCAATTTTTACTTTTCTGGGTGTAGTCGTTTTTGTGTTTGCAAAGTTGGTGTCTGTCATTTCGCATCGTATGGTTTTAATCCCACTTATGCGTTTGCTCAAGTTTGTTATATGCTTGAATGCATGTTTACCTTATATTTATCTGTATTTGTACATACAACTATAATTGGAGGGTCTAATCGGCCTTCTGTTTCTCTACTTGACCAGTAACAATGAATGACATCAATCCAGAATCTTACATACGCTATAAAAAAACAATGTTCGAAGGTAAAACAAACATCTAATAAATGCATCAAAATAGAGGCACTATTTTCCAATTAAAATGCAAATAGTCACTTTGTTAAAAATAATGAACAAACATATAACGAGATCAACGTGAAGCTATTTCATAAAATATGTCTGAAAGAATGTTAGATGATAAGTTGGAAAATCAAAAGCTAATTGTAATGCCCAACCTGGTATAGAAAACATTTAGATTGTCAATTTTCCTCCACAGGTCGGTAATTCTCTCAGACTTCCACCTTCAAATAAACTTATCAGCGGGTAATATCCAATAGTGCAAAACGTGGTGTTAATCACAACTCATTCAATATAAAATGATATCAATGGAATAAAGACAAAACATTGTTTATGTAACACAACATAATAGAAAATTACTATGATGTCATCTTACAATAAGATACATAGATTTAGGAAAAAAGAAGCAAGACAAACGTGCCACACACAGTTTGAGGGAAATGATGTTATTCCAAAACTTACATGCTGATTCTTTAAAACCTTTCCATGTTGTTTCACCAGTGATACACTCTAAACTATCTGTTACTAGTACAAAAACTGCAACACTTGAGAGAAACACTTGATGAGTAGCATAAAACTCCTTTTGACCGGCAAAATCCCATAGCCAACAAGAGGCAAATATATCCTGGATTTTAGATTCCTTCTGGTAAATAAATGGTTGAATTATGGCAGAAGTCATTTCTTCTATGTTCTCTTCATTTGCAAAGCCATGGTCATGTTCATTTTCATTGCTGTTGTGTATTTCACAGTCAATTGAATATGTATTAGGATGTTCAAATATAATGTTATCTAGTTGTATTTGATTTTCCGGATTTACTGTTGCATTTGTGGTTTCAGTTACTGATTTCTCTTCACAGTCAGAACTTTCGTTGTTTGTTTCCTCAGGAAGTGTTTCTTTAAGATCTCTATCATTATTTTCATCATGACTTTGCAGACTACTCACTTCTGCTATTTGAGTTATAGAAGGAATTATTTCCTGTTGTTCACAATCTAATTCTAATTCATTTTGAGACTTTTCTGTGTAACTGCTGGAATGTTCTCCGTCAATGACAGTTTCTGTAATGTGTTGTCCAGACACGCTTTCTACTTTCCTATTCTTCCTTGCATACACTTGGTTGATTAATTTGTCAAGATCATCGTGTATTTCTGTAGACAAAACAAAACGAATCTGTTTGAGAAAATATGCGAATCATGTGTTTATAATGTTTAATGCGAGTCATTTTATTCCCTCGTTCCTTCTCTCTACTATGAGGCAAAAATGCAATTCCAAATGTGCATGAATTGACTGTTCTTGTATAATAATATTTCTATGGTTTTGCATGAAATATTACGGTTCTACGTAGAACAATAAATACTGTAATATTTATTCAATTATAAATATGTTTCCTGAATAAAAAATACCAGTGTTTGGTGTTGATATCGCTCTTATTACTTTATCAATACTGCTACAAACTCCACTATAATATATCGTTTTATCTCAAATTTGTTACGAAAATATTGGATTTTGCATATGCAATAACCGCAAATTTGTCCTGGTCGTTACTAGTTAGTATGCCCTTGTATGACATCATTAGTACTTAGTCATATATAAACATTTTCGGGGAACGACAATTACGGACGGGGAATGTCGATTTAAATGACAACATAATTTGTTAAAGAAATAACGAACATTAGTACTTAAAGAAAATCTAACAGTGACACTATAGTGTTCAGGGACTATAATTTGAACGGTTTTAAAAAATGTTTAAAATCGCAACACGAAATAAAACAAATCGTTTAAATTTTGTTAGCATTTGTAAAATATGTTAATTCATAGATAATAACATGTTCTTTTCCATATTGGCCATGGTATCATCCTCGATCCATATGAGCCCTCGGCTATTGACTCAGATTTATAATAGAGTTTCTGGATGACACCAGGGCCGAAATGGGAAAGGACATGTTATTTTCTATGATTATTCAATGTTGATGCCTTCAAATACAATGAATATCCGAAAATCAGTTCAAATCAATTCAAGATACAAGAAGAACAGAATTATTAAAGAAATGAAGGGACAGCATCTGAATTACAAAACTAAATGAACATTGAATAAAATCAATTATCGCCCCATGTTCAAATGTCTTAATGTTTATACAGATCAAAACCTGAATTGCACTTCTCAAAACAAATTTGCGATCTAAAATGTTATTAGTTATTGTTAATTGTAGATTGATCTATGAAAATAAATGCGACAAAAAATATCGATCCCAAGTTCAATATTGTTTATCAAGAGAGCAGAAAGCAGTTAATTTCACAATCAACAATTTACCCAGTCTAACAATTACATTGTTTCAAGGCAAAACAGGATTAAATAGATGGAGAAAAACACATTATCATTCAACGAATGACCCTAATTTGAGTACATTACATCGTTTGCAAAATATATAAAACTAAAATATCTGTATTCGCAGGCATCCTTTAAAGTCTAATGTACAGTCATATCAATAGATAAGATGGTCATTTAGATGTTCACATTTGGTTTGTCCTTTTAACTGTCCTGTATTTTGTCATAACAATTACTTTTAAAGCTGACTACACAAAGAGAGTTTAATTTGTTGAAAACCTGTTAACGTTACTGTTCATAACATATTCATTTAGTCGTTATTAGCATATGTATTATTTGCAATACAACAGTAAACCTTACTTCATAGTTTTCTGAAATTCTCACCACAATGTTTTACAGTAATAGATAACCATAAAAAAATACTGTTATGAGGTATACCTAACCAGACGTGGAACTCATATGTTAAGTGCACAGAATTGTAAATATGAATTAGTACTCTAAAATATTTTCATATTTTCGATATGACACTTTATGATTGTGTATTCAATCTCCATGTTTGGTCCTTAGTTATGATTAAACACACAAGTACAGATACAAATCATGCACAAATAACATCAATAGTCTACACAAATATTTACAAAGGTCAGTCACTATAAATTATGAAATCACTCACGGCACGAAATACGTTCTGAACGGTCTCTGATGAGGTCGTCTGATTTACATTAAATTATCATGAATTTATTATAATTGTCCTAATCCTTTTATTTATTGTAATTAATGAGTTTTAAATCTAACGATTCATTTAATCTTGGCTTGGGTCATTTAAATTCGTTTCCTTTTTATCTCAGGTGAAAAATGTTCAACACACTAACATTCCGCTTGAACGATCAACAAAGGTGTAAATTAGCGGTCACCATAAACATGTCATTTTAACTGTTATACAAACAAGTATGTTTACTCAGCTTTATTCTCTTTTGAAAATGATTAGGTGACATAAGAAATACATCCCATTTGAATTTTTATCATTAGGTCTGCATCTTTCGAAAATTCTTACTTTCGAAGTTCGAGACATCGGGGTCAATTTACATTAATTTTACTTCGACGAGACTATAAAATTTACTCGACTTAACCGAGTATTCGAATCAACCGAGTTCGACTCATCAGAGGTAATTATGCATTGATCAAACGGGAATTTTACCGGGACCGAGAAATTACTTCGACTCATCCGAGTTTTCGACACAACCGAGTTCGACACAACGAGGTTCGACTGTAGTTTGTTTATTTTTTGTTTTAATTTTCTGCATGATATTGCACGTTTTTATTCGACTGGTTTTTTTCTATTTCCATTTGATAAGGTTTGTAAGATGAAGGTAAGTCTCTTGAATTTAGAAGAATAAGAAATTACGAACAAATAGAATAAATCATTATAATAATCTTATCAAATATATATCGACTGAAATTTACCGCTTCACGAAAAGCGTTGTGACTTTTTAATTTTCACCCGTCGTTCAGATCGATGGTGACTACGTTCATTTAAAAGACGTTTAGACTTCCACAATACACAATTGTTTTTTTTTTTTCAAAATATGACTCAGACCTGATTTGACATGTTTAGAGATGAGACCAAATATATTGTTAATGTGGAAAGCGTGTGCTATCATAAACAAAACTTTTCAGTCGTGACTTCTGGTAAATTAATAAGTCTGTTCGTATTCATTTCGTCTATAACTATCAATATATCTGAGAATTATTCATCCTCATATATGGTATTTGTGGTTTGACATGCATGTGAAAATAAGTTACAATATTGAGATATCATGTGTGTTACTGATATGAATAAAGAATCAAATATCGTACATAGTTTGACCGAAATCAAAAAGATACCTAAGTTATTAAAGCCTTAGTATTTCAAAAATTAAAAAGTTTTGTAAACAGTTAATTTATAAATATGACCATACCAATGATAATTCATGTCAGCACAGAAGTGCTGACTACTGGGCTGGTGATACCCTTGGGGAATTAAAACTCCACCAGCAGTGGCATCGAACCAGTGGTTGTAAAAAAACTCATCATAGATACCAGGATTAAATTTTGTATTTACGCCAGACACGCGTTTCGTCTACAAAAGACTCATCAGTGACGCTCGAGTTCAAAAAAGTTAAAACGTCCAAATAAAGTACGAAGTTGAAGAGCATTGAGGACCAAAATTCCTAAAAGTTTTGAAATACAGCTAAGGTAATCTATTCCTGAGGTAGAAAAGCCTTCGTATTTTAAAAATTCAAAAGTTTTGTAAACAGTTAATTTATAAATATGACCATACCAATGATAATTTATGTCAGCACAGAAGTGCTGACTACTGGGTTGGTGATACCCTCGGGGAATTAAAACTCCACCAGCTGTGGCATCGACCCAGTGGTTGTAAAAAAACTCATCATAGATACCAGGATTAAATTTTGTATTTACGCCAACGCGCGTTTCGTCTACAAAAGACTAATCAGTGACGCTCGAATTCAAAAGGTTAAAACGGCCAATAAAGTACGAAGTTGAAGACCAATGAGGACCAAAATTCCTAAAAGTTTTGCTAAATACAGCAAAGGTAATATATTCCTGAGGTAGAAAAGCCTTAGTAGACTCATCATAGATACCAGGAATAAATTTTGTATTTACGCCAGACGCGCGTTTCGTCTACAAAAGACTCACAAACCCGAACCAGAAGTTTAAAGTGAGTTCAGGACACGCTTTGAAAATGGAAAAAAATAACTCCATAGACTACAGATTTATTTTTATTTAAGAAAAAATTGTGAAGTTTGTGGACTTTATTTGGCATTCTCCTTTGATACCAATGCTCCTACCACCCTAATTCATTTTCAAAACTTGGACAAAATATTTTTTCATTTTGATGTCGATTCTGAAATTAATGGAAAACAACATGTTTTCGGTATTTATTTGAAAACTCTGGTACACCTTGGTATTGACTGCATATCTTATGACATACAAGTTTGTCAAACACCCCTTTTACTTTTATCTATAGATATCCATGATTTGCAAATCCTTTTTTATGTTTTATGCAGTACATATTTGGACAAAGTCTGAATTATACTTAGCTTTTTTTTGTATGTCTGACAAGCTAGGCATTTAGGTCCATAATCAGACCACCTGTTGCGGTTAGAAGAATAAGTGACAAACCGGTGTAATAAATTGTCAGGTATTATAATAATTAAGAATAATAAGGTAAAACAGGGATCAAAACATAAAATTACAGATAAAATCTAGAGACATGGATTTAAAAAAAAAGTTTAAGAAGTGTTTGTAAGATAAACATTCGAGAAAAACATGACCTTGTGCAATGCAAAAAAAATTGGTATCGACTGCAATATCGCGAAAGAACAAATGTGTAATATTTAGTATGGTTTAAATTTACTTAAAGAAAAATCAATATTTAAACCAATAAAAACAATATTCAAAGATTTAATTACAGTGTTGAATTGGAACTATGCTATATTAAGTTTATTTAAAGGATTGCTAAGTGTACCATGTATTATCCGGTTCGTATCCAAATTTCTAGTCTCGAATAACAACATCATCGTAAAATTTGGGATGTGCTTATCCGTTTGAAAGAAGTTTTCTACATCTACAGCCAAACTTGAAATCAAAATATTCGTATTTATCGAAAAAAAAAAGTAAAGGTTTAACATGTTTAAGTAATTTGTGGTAACGAAATCCCTGACTTTATAATTTACTAGTAATAATACCTAGATTATGCCCATTGAAACACAAAACGTCGCTACAGACACGAGCATAATGAACAATGTGGGATAAATAAAAACTGTAAGATGGTGCCAAAGAAACATTACAGTCTAACAATGGAAAGTTATCAAAAGGGAAAGAAAAACAATCCCTTTTGTTGTATTTTTTTGTGTTACTTCTTGATGCTATACTGTAATACTGTAATATCTAGAGAATTCTTGATTATTAAACAAAAAATATCATCAAGATAACGGTCAGTGTGGCAGACAGCGTTTAGAAATTAATGGAAAACAACGTGTTTTTGGTATGTATATTTATTTGAAAACTCTGTTACACCTTGGCATTGACTGCATATCTTATGACATACACGTATGTCAAACACCCCTTTTACTTCTATCCATAGATATCCATGATTTGCAAATCCCTTTTTTTATGGTTCATGCAGAACAAATTTGGACAAAGTCTGAATTATAATTAGCTTTTTTTTGTATGTTTGACATGCTGGGCATTAAGGTCTCAGCTTATTTCATTTTCACCGTTTTGAAATTTACCGCCACTTTGAAAATAAAATTAAAAGTCTTAAATAACGGTATGACTTTCTAGAAATATCGGATTATATTTGATTCGCTTTTAAATGAAATTTGTACTGATTTGCAGTCATCTTGAAAATGGTCATGATACTGGATTGTTGGGATCATTGTTTGAATTGATAATCAAATATATATCTACAATTGTGCAAAGTTTCATACTTTTTATCATCAAATCCACTATTCTAGAAATATGCTCGAATCATCTGGGCTACAATATTCGGAATGCCTGACCAAAGAACATTGAACGTATGACATATCCAGAATTACCATGTGTACATCTATAGCATTCATTCAAGACGCAAATCCATCATTACTGAATATAAACTTGATATGAACAGGAGCATGGACGATGAAAATCTCCCTATGTTAAATAGACGCCAAAACTTTTAAATCTTAAAATAGAATGATTTATAAGCGGATCGTCAGACCTCTTGACTAAACATCATTTTCTAAAGTAAAGATTGCATTCAGAAATAATTTGATTATGTATAGTTTAAGTTAAAGATTTGACAGTGAATATTTTTCTTAAAAATGCGGAACGAAAATTTGTCGTCGATCTTTAATAGATAAAAACATTACCACAACTTAAAAACCTAATATTTATATTCTCTAAGGTAAATACAGACATGTATATAAACTTTCCATTACAATAAGTTTGATGTTCATTCAGAGTAATATGTTCCAATGCATATGTCTTAAGATAAACATAACACTTTATAAAAGACCAAGTTTAGTTTGGCTTTAAGACTGATATAAAAGACATTGTATTAATAACGTACACATATAGTTTATTCCCTAAATTAAAATAGTTTGAGACATATTAGATTTAAGGTCAATTTGTCATCGAGTCGTACCTTTTTCTGTGGTATTCTAACATGCTCCCTGCATTATTATTTGATTTACATGGAATTTACATGCTTAATTTTAACCAAATGTAGGCCAAGGATGTATTAATACTTGAAAAGGTGATGATCAATTCTACCAAAACGTGCGTTTTTTCGGCGCCTTTCATAGCTGACTTTACGGCATTGGTTATGCTCATTGTTGAAGGCCGTACGATGACCTTTAGTTGTTAACTTCTATATCATTTGGTCTCTGGTTGAGAGTAGATACATTGGCAATTAAACCACCTCTTCTTAATGTTGTATATAACTATATGACTGAATAGTTTGACTTGAGAATGACATAAACTTTATTTTACGTTCCTTGCATAGCGAATTAATCTTACCCGAGTAAGTGAAATGAAATATTGTTCAAGATAAAATTGCAAGATAATATCTTTTACCTGTTTTAAACGTAAAAAAGAGGTGGTGACATATGTTATTTCACTAATGAGCTCGATAAATTTGTGATCAACGTTAATTAGGTCTTTCCACCTTTCCGTGGAAAGACCTATTGATTTTGTTCTGATTATGTTTTTTTTCTTCCGCCTAATTTTTTTCTTGCGCTGTACTTTTGTTTCAAGAGATGTTGCTCAGTTTTTTTGTATATGATATCAGACAGTCTATACGCTTTTGAAACTGACCCTGTTTAACCGAACACTTTTCTTTGTAAGAGTTATCTCCCCAAACACTGTTTTTCTTGTTCTGAGATCTCCTTCGCAACCGTAAAAGAAAGTGACAAATTTATTTTTCCAAATTGCTCGTTATATCCTCAGAATGTTACGTTTTATTTTGACCGAAGCGTTACGAAGACTCCATATGAGAGTTATTTCCCCTTTTGTATTTGATATAAGTGAAATGTATTTGTAACTGGAAAACCATAAGTGATAGATGCCTAGGGTCTTTTGATTTGAGGTCCTTGGTCCATAAAAATGAAAATGAGGTCAAGGTCAAAAGTCAAGGTCATGTTCAAAATTTGTATTTTGGCTTGTTATCACTAACTTTCAGAAATCTTATAAGATATCGACAAATTATTTTTACAGAATTTTTAGTTGCGACTTGTAACAAGTAAATTTGAGTTGAAAGGGTACGGAGACATAAAATGGGAGTTTTCTCCCCTATTATATTTAAAATTACACGTATGGTGATGTAACTCATTTATCATATATAATTAAGACCTAGGGTCTTTTGATTCGAGGCCCTTGTTTCATGACCTTGCAATTTTGGGGTCAAGGTTAAAGGTTGATTCGACGTTCTATATTTTGACTTTTGCTTTTACCTCATATGTATACATGATAAAGTTATGAGACTTTTTGCATTAGGTTGCAAGCTATTTGACCTTGAAAAAACAAACCGGAATTGACATTTTCTAAACCGGAAGTAGCTATTTTTTGTACTAAATTAATGTAAAAGTATATAGAAGCATATATTTTTGGAATCAGTGTCAAGTAAACTATCATACAATACCGGTAGTGTAATGTTTCAAACCGGAAGTAAAAAATTATCTCCCTTATTTATATTTTTTTGTATAGAAACCATATATTTTTTGGAATCAGCGTACAATAAGCTGTCATTTGACGCTGGAATTGACATTTAAAACCAAATTTTAATATTTTCATATCAAAATAGATTCTTACTGGTGGAGAGACCTTCAATTGTTCTCTGAACAATTGGTTTTTAATTTGAATAGTATTTCTTCATTACTAATCATGAATGAATTTCAAAAAGAAGAAAAAAGTTTCTTACTTTCACATGGGCTCCACTTCCCAGTTTTAACATTGATATTACATTTCTCAATTTCAATACCATCTGTACTTCCGGGAGCAGTCACTTCTTTCTTTTTCTGCCACAGTAATCTACGCATTAAACTTGTTTTTCCAACTCCCTCCTTTCCAATAAATGCAACTCTAGCAAAATAATGTTTTCCACATTCATTTTTAGAGAAAAGTTCATATATATTCTTTTGTTTTTCTTCATCACTTAAAGTTGTTGTCTGTGAAAGTATCTTCGAAAAAACTGAAAACATAGATCCTGTATGTCTTATATTGAATTCATAAATTATACTTAGATTAAAGACGTATTGCAACGCCAATGGTAACATGGGAAAACCAATACAATATAGGAATTGAGTTCATTAGTTTTTCCGGATAACATGATAGAATGTCGTACTTATACATTCCCATTTAGTCTACAATTTGTACATTTATCGTGTTGTTAATTCTTGATTCGATTAATTTATAAAGCCCCACTTTAAATTAAAATAATCCCTATTGTGCACTATTATTGTGTAAACAATATCAGATGACGCTATAAGGTCGTTGTTGGACATGGCAACACATAACTAACATAGTTTTCATATCTACATTTTTGAGATTCAAAAACCGTTTCCTATATAAAATCAGATAAATGTATGGTAATAGTTTACAGCATTGTCAATGTGCAAATGTATTGTTACGGTGAATGAAAACTGCAAGTAACTTTGGTAGGTGATCTATACTAAAAACGTTATAGAATTATGTGCTAAGTATTTGAAACGTATATATAATTAATACCGATTTAGACTTAATACCGGATGTATACTAACATGAGCAACACGACGTATGCCCCATGTGGAGCAGTTTCCGTTTACCCTTCCGGAGCACCTGATAACATACTCAGTTTTTAGTGGGGTTCAGTAGCTCAGTCTTTAGTTTTCTATTTTGGATTTAAATACTGTTGTTTGTATGTTGGTATTTTTCATTCTAGTCATGGCATTGTTGGTTTATTTTTAAATTATGAGTTTTAATTTCCCTTTGGTATCTTTTGCGCTTAAAGTTATGTACAAAACACGTGGATGTCCTGCTTATTTTATCCAGAGGAACCCATTGGACTGATTTCTCTCTGTTTGTTCTATATTTCTTACCAAAAACGGTTGTCACTGCTATGACTATGTAAACTGAAAAGAAAGGGTAGTTATTCTTTAAGATTTAAATTAAATTATACGTTTGGTTAAATGTTCTACATTTTGTAAATGTTAATGTGCTATTTCGGTTTTTATATTATTTAAATATAAAAGCAATTCAGCAAATACTTAACAGTATTGATTGACGAAGGACGAATAATCTTATTTAAGTCCATTTGTAGTTAATTATACTTGTTTGTGAAGTTTAATTTTGGTAGATAACGTTTTTTTATAACAATATAAGTTCAAACATGGCAGCTAATACAGTTACAGTTGTAGCATCAGTACATCAGAATAGTATTATGACCACGTGTTTTCTCTACTCACCTGCTGTTAATACAATGATGATAAAGAAAACTTGACTTTCATCTCCTAAAATTACAATTTTAAAGGTCATTGATCGTGTTAACCTTTTTTAAAACTTCAATTTTCAAATTTACAAACCATTTTTGTTAGAAGAAGATTTTTCAAAACTCCTGTTTAATATACATGATATATTTAGGCGTCATTTATATATTATGTCATGATTAAAAAGAAGTATGTCCTTCTGATTGAAATTCAGATACTGTGTCTTGAACATTTTGCGTGAAGTAAGAAACCTTGAGACTTATGCAAAATATTTCCAAGTGTAATCCATTTAACGTCATATAGCTGAAGATACACATTGAAAAAATCGATTTGAGGATGTACACCTCTGCGGAGCCAAACATTTCTAGAATTAAACTTTTTCTTAACCTGACTTTTGGGTTTACATGACTGTAAAAAAAATTGGTGATGACAAAATCATATGGTAGTGCACTTCTTTTTTTGCGGCCATTTGAAAGTACCGAATTTTGAAGATTTTCCCATTTGTCATCATTTTTTTCCCATTTCTAGACTATTATCATGAAAACAATTACAGTTTCACAATTAAACTTTTTTTTATACTTTCACAAAAGAGGAAATTGACAAATCTGAAAAAAGTTAAGTTTAAGAAACTATAGGTTGGTGTTTATATAAGAAAGTTTTATACAATTTTGTTGCTTTTTCGTGTCAAACTTTTGCAAGCTGTCAATTTTGTAAATTTGGGATTTTTTTCTATCTTTTTTTTAGAACAAAAAGCATACTATTTCAACTTCTTTTGTTATAAATAATAAGAAAAAACATATTTAAGAAATTTGAAAAGAAAATAAATGATATTGGATGTACCTGTTTCTGGTAAAATCAATTTTTGTACCCTCACCCATTTTCTTTATACTTTGGTTAGTGAGACTGACTTTAATTACTCTAAAACTACTTATTGTAAATACACAATTTTTTCACAGAATGAAGTTTGGTGATAATATTTTTTAACTTCAATGATATTTTCCATCTGTATCACATTTTTTGGAAATAATACCAGAACAAGATTTCAACGAGACTATAACTTCAGAAGAAAACATCGGATTCCTTAAAAGGACATTTTAATAAATATAATCCATGTTTATCAGTGGTTTATAATTTGTATTTATATAATATTATTTCTATTGATTATTCATATTTTCTATCTATAATGTTGACTTCTTTTTGGAATTACTTGAATAAGCAATCTTTTAAAAACATAATCGTATTTTGGTTTCAAGTCTTGTTCGATATCGGATTCGTGTGTGTTTTGTTTATTTGTTAGTTGAATTTGGTTTTGTAATTTTGGCACGTATGATATTTTAAACAAGTTCCCACAGATGTTTTAGTTGTTCATATGATGATCTGATTCACCATTATCTCTGGAGAGAGTTGTTTGCTCACAAAAAAATCGTATCCCGTCACATGCTATATGTTTCTCTCCAAAGTCAGGATCCTGTAGTCCAGCGGTTTTCTTGAACGATGTATGCCATATTTGGTTTTGATTAATATTTTGTTTTTTTCCTTGAGAGTGTTACCGAGATAATTATAATGATTTGTACATTAACCTCGCTTCATCTGCATGGTTATTATCTGTAACCCTTATTTTTTATGCATTACAGTTCTAGATCCATCCAATATAACTTCTTTCATAACATAAACACATACAACACTATCCAATTAGTAAATATTGATTGTGGTAGACACTAAAACAATATATATGAAACACTAACAATTTGCAATTATCTTTTTGTAGAGCTTTCTGTGTTTTATATTCATCTTTTTTGGATAATAATATCGAAAGTGATGCATGAGTTACGTAAGAAATCTTATTCACATACCAAAAACAGACATACAGTCGTTCATGCCTAAGAGTTGATGTAATATACAAATCCTCAACCGTTAATTGAGTTTTCGTTAATTTATCGGTATAAGTGACAGATAATGTGCATGTATACTAAAAACGTAGTAAACTTACTGTTTTTATTACTTTCGATACTTTTGATGAACTGAACAGTTCGATTGTGTATATTGTGTGATCTAAAAAAGAGCACTAACTAATAAATTCTACAATGTAACTAAATCCATCCTTCAGTAAAAATCAATTATAATGCCCATAATAAGTAATTTATGTTATTATTAGCTTCTTTTTTACAGCGTCAAAGAGTTTGTCTTCTAAGCAATATAAAAATTGAGAAAGAAAAATAATAATGTTTTTTTTTTTCTACTGCAATTGTGACCCTTCGACATAAAAGAGGTGCGAACGATACCAGAGGGACAGTCAAATTGTTTCTTTTGATGAATAATGTATATGCATTTGAAAATGAATAACAACCTAATGCAGTCACATCAATAATCGTAAACTACAAATTAAATTGAATTGGTAAAGGAGTCTTGATCTAGAATAATAGTTCCTCAGACAATGAAGACCAATAGTTAAATAGGCTTTGTCAAACATAATATTTCCCTTTCAATAAACTATTTTCTTTATATCAAAACACAATACTTTGAAATCGAGTTCAGAGGTTAAAAAACTAGGTTGAAAATGTTAAAGTGTCATTACTAAATGTTTATATTTACAAATCAATGTTTGCTACACAATTTTAATCATGCAGTTCACATGTTTCAATATCATCAACATCTTTATCAATACAATTTTACCAAATCCAGAATGCTAAAACCCAACAGCACTATTGACACTGACCCCAGGTTAAAAAAACAACTTATACATTATAAAGAGTGTGAATCTGACAATAATTGATCGACTGTCGGTTGCATAACGTCAAGTGACAAATAAATCAAAAATATTTAGGACGGGGGGAACAAATTAACACTTTATACAACAGAAGTTAGGGGAAGGTCTGGATATTTGTGATGCCATGATAATTGAGTTATATAGGATAGCGACAGCAATTTTGCCTTGCAACAGATCACATACGAACACTACATGAGGCATTCGATTTAACGTTCCCATTCTGACCGCACTTTTATGACAGTCGCATAAAATCCATTATAATGACAACGACGTGATTACGGCATCGATCTTGCGTTGATTGAAATACGTTTTCTTGTTTATTTAAGCATCCGAATAACAAAGCTGTAAACTGTAATTTGAAAACTTGTTCAGAAAATTTCAACAATCTTTTTTTTTTTCCATTTTTCAAAAAATCATAGGTTCACCTTTACAGTTCACATAATGGATACATTGAAAAACATGTTAGGGTGTATTCTAATTTCATACTTATGGACTTTTTATTATTAAACACAAAGACAATCTTTATTTTACCATAAATATTCTGTTTTGATTTGTAGCTGCCTTTTTTTTTAATGAAGAACACTAGGAGACTTGTGTTCTTGTCAATATTCACTTTTGCTTTTTTAAATTATAAACAAACCGGCTATTTTTTATAGATGAAATATAAAGGCATATGCTGTAAGCTTCGTATTTCCACTCCATTTGACTAGAAAAATCATCAATGGTACCGGACATTCGTCAGATGCCATTTCGTCTACACAAAACTTAATTGTAGCGCTCAAGTTTTAAGAGTTTGAAGGCAGAATCTGAAGACAACATACAACATTTGTACAACCAAATATTTACATATGTTGTTCCAGTTATGGCCATTGTAATCTTTTCATGGACTAATTAAGACTTAGCCCTTGGTTGAGTTAACTTAACTAGCGAATTTACATATACAATGTTCAGGTCGTTTGATCGTTGTTAACAAACAAAAAAGCATGTATACATATCAAAAGACAAATCGACTCAATGTTAATGGCAGATATAAGGTTTTGGTTGAAATTAAGACTTATTTCAAGGTGATTATTTAATGATTGTGCTTGCCATCATCATGAGTATGTTCATTTTTAAATTTTAACTCAGAAAAAAAATATTTATTGATGTTTCTATACAAATTCATCAGTATTTAGGGTTTTAATCCGGTCCGAAAAAAAATCAATTTTTTGGGTTCAAAATATTTTTTTTTTATAATTTTGCCATGTCCCTTCTTTTAACGTTCTGACAAGATTATAACACCATACTAGTGTTAAGTCTAATCATGACATTCACTAATAGCGCTTGAATCAAATAATGTGGTTAACATCATGGGTTTTAGAGCATTGCAAACCAAAAAAACTCAAATGTGGTAAAAAATATGAGTCGGTCAATTATTCCATTAAGTGAGAGTGAAACAAAACTGAAAAGAACCGTCGTTTGAACTTTCCGTTCAAGGCACATTTCATATAAAATAAAAAGGTGCAACAAACGTTGATCAAAACCTCATATAAAAATGTTCATGGTAGAACGAATAATAATTTCCCGTATAATTCCTACTTACATATGTGAATATATTCCCTGACATGTTACATTTGCTTTTGTGTCTTCTTCATTGATACATTGATAATCTGCGGATAAAGTTCATACTTTTTACCTAGTCATGTTAGTTGATTTATTTAATGAGACGATTGCAATTATGATCATGGAAAAAAAGACAAAAATTGCACAAGTGTTTAAAACATGATTACTTTATGATTTGAACTGAATTGCCTTTTTTCCATGTTAACTATCTGTTTCAGATTTAATGGGTGACAGCAATTTAAAAAGTATGTATCATTATTGCCGAAACAATCAGCAATCGGGTAACTTATAAAAATGTTTTAAACTTATAATTAAGAAGAAACACAATGAAACAATTCATAGAGAAATGTTTTTTGTCTATCAATATACACTACTGGACGAAAAAACAACTGTCCATACCAGTAACAGTCGTTGTACGACTGTCTTAGTCTGTGAAAGACTGAAGATGACTGTCAAAGAAACTGTTACAGTTGATTAATGTCTGTCCCAACACTTTTATGGGTTGTGAAAATCAAAAAAATTTATCAACAGTCATTTAAGGACTGTTGCAGTGGTTTACGGGGTTATCACAGTCAAATACTATTTATTACAACCTTTCCAAAAGTTGTGGCAGTTGTATAATGTTTGTCCAACCTTTTAATAGTTGGGACAGTTGAAATTTGTTTGTGTCAACTTTTCAG